GGTAGGCAGTTGGGCCTGGCTGAGGGGCTGTGCCCTCCCCTGGACATTCATTGCCTCTGCCGGCCACCGGGAGACAGTGATACCACTCTGAGTGCCACGGAAAAGCACGCTGTTGTCACACACATGCCAGTGACGCTGGAGAACGCCACACAGAAGCTCGGGGCCAGGGTCTATGCAGCCCTGAGGCATTTTGCCCAAGCATGAACATTCTCGGGGACACAACAGCAAAGCGAAAGTGCCTTCCCTGGGCTGACTCACTCTCCTCTACGGCTAAGCCATGGGCACCATCATCGGACCGTCCCGCAGAGGGGCAGACGGGCCTCATGCACGCAGTTCTCAGCTGGCAACAGCCATGGGACATACAGCCTCCCTGGGTCTTGCCACTCCTTCGGGCACTCAGGGTTCTGGAAACATGGGGATTCACCCACCCCTCTTCCACTCAACACCTGCTGCAACTCCATCAATGTGGCCTGCAGACACCAGACCCTCGGCCTTCAGGAAACTGTCTCAGTTCTAACCTGTCCCAGTTTCCCTCCCACTGCCCCGGTCGGGCCTCTTTTCTGACCCTCCACACCCCCCCAGGAGCCTATAAACTGCTGGGGAATGTATCCCCGGTGTGGCAGACAGGTGTCCACCTGGCGAGCAGGAAGGAAGGGGGGGCTCAGGGCGCCCTATCCGGCTGTGGGTACCTCTGGGTGAGGATGTGGCCAGGTGTGACATGCCCTTGGTGCAGAAGAGCCCAGCCCTGTGCCTGCTAACATCCTCTCTCTCCTCCACCTGCCCCTCCAGGCTTCAGGAAACTCAAAGTGCTTTTATCCACCCTGGAGGACACCCAAGGTCAGCCGCGACAAAACCAGACAGAACCCTGCAGGAAGAGGCTGCTCCTTTGTCAAAGGGATGCATTTCCACATGGGAGGCCCCGACTCTCAATCAAGCAATGGATCTGAGGCAGCTGGTCTCCTGGGACCCCACGGGAATCTTCTTCCTGGCCTGCTGACTCTCAGGGCAATCTTTTACCTTAATGAAATGCTCTGGGAACCAGCAGTTAGCGTAATGGCTATGTCGCTGGACTCCCATGTAGTCAACCGTGGATCGAGTCCTGGACCCGGTGGCTTAAAACTCACGCCGGGTGCGTGTGCGTGTGTGCCCAAGATCCCGAGAGGAGAATGAAGGAGAAGGGATTGCGATGGGGCCATCCCCCCCGGGGGGTGATTTCTCGCTTTCTGTCTCTATGTCTCTCTCTGTCTGTCTGGCGAGCGCACGTGCCCTATGGCAAAAACCTCTCCAAAAAAAAAAAAAATTAGTACCGTGACCATGACAGTCCTTTTTTTTTTTTTTTTTTGGGTGTCGTGACCATGACAGTCCTTTTTTTTTTTTATTTTTAGGTGTTGGCCATAGGGCACATGCACTCACTGGAGAGAGACAGAGATGGTGAGAGGGAAAGTGAGAAATCCCCCCCCCCAGGGGGGGTGGCCACACTGCAATCCCTTCTCCATTCTCCTGGGATTTTGGGCATGCACACACACATGGTTGGTGTGATTTGAAACCACCAGTTCTGGTCCTTGAACTGTGGTCAACCATGCGAGAGTCCAGCACCTTAACCACCACACCACCTACCAGCCCCCATAATGGTCATTCTGAGAGACTGAAAGTGTAACAAGAATCATTAGAATGGGAACTTATTATTTATTTATTTATTTTTCCTAAAGAGAAGTCATTCCATTTTTTTTTCTTTTTTTGGAGAGGTTTTTGCTATAGGGCGCGTGCGCTCGCCAGACAGACAGAGAGAGACAGAGAGACAGAAAGCAAGAAATCACTCCCCAGGGGAGATGGCCACGCCACAATCCCTTCTCCCTCCATTCTCCTCTCGGGATCTTGGGCATGCACGCACATGCGCCCGGCATGAGTTTAAGCCACTGGGTCCGGGACACGAACCGCAGTTGACTACGTGGGAGTCCAGCGACATAGCCATTATGCTAACTGCTGGTCCCTGTCATTCCATTTTTAATAGGTCATTGGCCAAGCCAGCGTCGGCCTGAAATTGGACAGTGTGAGGCGGCCGTGCCTGCGAGCAGAGGGGCTGAGCCCTGACTGCTGCTTGGCTCTGGCTGGGCTCTGCCTGCCTGGGCCTCAGCTCTGCCCCTGCAGCACGAGCTGACGGTTGTATCTGTGCTTTCCAGTGCGGACAGATCCTCTGTATGCCTCCCAGATTATTCTGAAAATTATTCTGGAAATCAACACTGAGCCAGCACCGACTATAAGGAGCTGCTCTGATGGAAACAGTTATGGGGAGTGGCAGGTCCTGGGTCCTGACCCCGGGCCACTCTCTACCTGACTGTAACCCCAGGCCTTCTGTGAACAAGTAGAACCCTTGCATCTCCCCTAATGACCTCTGACCCTGAACAAGCGTCCTATATAGTCAGGGCAGGGCAGGATTACTGAGCTGTGAGTTGAGATCTTCTAGATGCACCCTAAGGCAGGGACAGGCTGCCCTGCAGGCGGTGTGGACAGCAGCAGGACAGGGGCCTCTCGGAGGACGTCTGGGCTCATGCTCTGGATTTTGGCTGCTCTGCGGCCACCTGCACTGCCCTGAGGACCAGGCTGAGCCGTAGGTCTGGGAGGGGCAGGGCCGCTGCAGACGGGGAGCACAGACACTCTGCACCCGGGTTGCCCTGCTGGCCTCAAGTACCCTCTCCGGAGACAGTGCCTGGAAATCCCACCCTCAAGTCTCCTTGCACTGCGCACCAGAAGCAGTCTGCTCACGTGCACCTCGGTTTCCCTGGATCTAAGAGGCATGGGGTGGGAAGCCCCGCTCACACGCTTACCATGGGCTGGGGTCAGCCAGGCCATCGTGACCCGCTCTCATGACATGGGCAAAGGGCATTGTTCTGAGGGGGTGTCTCTGTGTACCTTGGTTGGGCCACACAAATCCATTCTGCCATTGTACCCTGAGAAGTTAAGCCAGTAGTTGGGCTGGACTGGGACAACTGGTCAACCGGGTAGGTCACCCTTCCAGGGGTCCTTTGCACATAGCTGCCCCCAAGAGGCATGGGCAGCCTAAGGGCCCAGGCTTGGGTTCTAGTCCAGCCAGGGCAGGGGGCCTGTGCATCACCCCATCCATTCTCTTTCCCGTAATAGCTACATTGCTGGACTCCCATGTAGTCCCTTCCCAACTCGCCCCCTTGGACTCACGAGTTCACACAGAGGACTACGATGTTCTTCCACAGGTTCCGTGTCCCCACCACCTTCACAATGCACACCTTCTTGGGCCTCCGGGACAGCTCTTTCTCCAGCTCTGCAAGAAAGAGACCCTGTGAGCCCTGGGCAGGGGCAGACCCAGGACGGTGACCACAGATAGCCTCATGTCCCCAATTCCTGAACCATGGTGAAAGGCTTTTTTATTTTTTTTGGAGAGGTTTTTGCTATAGGGCGCATGTGCTCACCAGAAAGACAGAGAGAGACAGAAAGTGAGAAATCACACCCCAGCAGTGATGGCCACACCAGCTCCTCCATGCTCCTCTTGGGATCTTGGGCATGCATGCACACACGCCCGGTGTGAGTTTAAGCCACCGGGTCCGAGACTTGAACTGTGGCCGACTACATGGGAGTCCAGCGACAAAGCCATTACGCTAACAGCTGGTCCCGATAAAAAGACTTTTTTAAAAGAGAGATTTTTGCTACAGGGCTTGTGTGCTTTCCAGGGAGACAGAGACAGAGAGATAGAAAGGGAGAAATTGTCAACGGAGGGGAGAGTGTTGGGCTGTGTTGTGAAGTCCTTGGTTCTTTGGGTCCAGATCACTAAAATTAGAGATCTGTCCCTAGGCGCAAAATGAAACCGCAACCACAAATGAAGTAGGTAGGAAAGAAGATTTAATAGGAAAGGAAAGAAAGGAAGTACACCCAAAAAGGTTGTTGGGCGGGCAGATTGCCAGGTGGTAACCGTGCTTGGTACTAGTTAACCGTTATTTTAATTACTAGAGGTCATGAATATTCATTAGTGGGTGGCCCCTTACACTGCCTATGTCCTTCCTTTAAATTTGAACCCACAGGTTCTTTTCCTGCACCTGCCCCTTCCTCACAGGCAAAGAATGAGGAACTTGATCACCTAATCGCGCACGCCCAATGCGAGCCAGGTTGCCCCGATTAGACTGCCCAATTAGTCCATCGCCCTAATGGGAATCAGGGCATTGACCAAAACGCTTGCTTAGGTCTTTTTTTTTCTTTCTTTTTTTGGAGAGGTTTTTTCTATAGGGCGTGTGCGCTCGCCAGACAGACAGACAGAAAGTGAGAAATCACCCCCCCAGAGGGGATGGTCACGCCGCAATCTCTTCTCCTCCATTCTCCTCTCGGGATTTTGGGCACGCACGCACACGTGCCCGGCGTGAGTTTTAAGCCACCGGGTCTGGGACGCGAACCGTGGTCGACTACGTGGGAATCCAGCGACATAGCCATTACGCTGACTGCTGGTTCCCATGGTGCATGTTTAAGCGGTCACTGCCCACCATGCCCTCCCTGCCTGCAAGCTCTGGGAAAGGAGCTTGGTCTACACCTGACTCGCAGTAGGCACTTAGCAAATATCTGTCAGATGAAGGAACCCATCGTCAACTCAAGAATTTCCCATCATGAGAGGGACCAGCAGTTAGCGCAATGGCTATTGCGCTGGACTCCCATGTAGTCGACAGCGGTTCGTGTCCCAGACCTGGTGGCTTAAAACTCACGCCGGGCGCGTGTGCATGCGTGCCCAGGATCCCGAGGGGAGAATGAAGGAGAAGGAATTGCGGCATGGCCATCCCCCCTGGGGGGGTGATTTCTCGCTTTCTATATCTCTGTCTGTCTGGCGAGCGCACGTGCCCTATAGCAAAAACCTCTCCAAAAAAAAAAAAAACCAAAAAAACCCCCAAAAAAAACCAAAAAAAAGAATTTCCCATCATGGGAGAAAACGTGCCCACTCTCCCTCAGACAAGAGCCTGGAGATGATGTTCCTGGGGGATTTTAAAGCAACAATCGACGCCAACCAGGTCTTCAGGTTGGGGTGGGAAGTCAGAGCTTTAGAGGGGTTTACCGGTGGTTTTCCAAAGGAGATCCGTGGTCCACTCTTATGAGAATCTCCTCTGGCTTATCAAAAATGCAAGTCCTCAGGGCTTTTCAGAATCCACTAGACCAGAGGTCTGCACCCCACCTGCATCAGAATCTCCTCTGGCTTATCAGAAATGCAAGTTCTGGGGCCGGCAGGTGGTATAGTGGTTAAGACACTGGACTTCCACATAGAAGAATGCAGTTCGAGTCCCAGGCCTGGCCTGGAGGCTTGAAAATCATGCTGGGCATGCATGCGTGTGTGCATGCATGCGTGTGTCTGCACCCCAAATCCCAGGAGAATGGAGGAGAAGGGATTGCAGCGTGGCCATCCCCCCTGGTGGGTGATTTCTCACTTTCTGTCTCTATGTCTCTCTGTCTGTCTGGTGAGCGCACATGCCTTATAGCAAAAACCTCTCCAGAAAAAAAAAAAAAAAGAAGAAAAGAAAAGAAATCATCCCCTAGGGAGATGGTCATACCACAATCCCTTCTCCTCCATTCTCCTCTTGGGATCTTGGGCATGCACGCACACGTGCCTGGTGTGAATTGTTAAGCCATCGGGGCAGGGACGCGAACCGCAGTCGACTACATGGGAGTCCAGTGACATGGCCATTACGCTAACTGCTGGTCCCCCTAGGAGATGATTTCTCACTTTCTCTTTCACTGTCTCTCTTCGGCAAGCACATGCGCCTTATGTCAAAAACCTTTAAAAAAAATGTTAATTTCTCAGGGCTTATTCTGAATCCACTAGGCCAGAATCTTGGAGTGCCAGGAGTCTGGATTTTGAACAACCTCCTGGAGAGATTTATGGATCCCCAAGTTGGAAGTGCCAGTCAAGCTTGTGGTAGCATTCCTGACGCACACGAGCCCCATGGATCCTGACCTCTGTACAAAAATCCTTCCCTCTTGGGAACCAGCAGTTAGCGTAATGGCTATGTCGCTGGACTCCCACGTAGTCGACTGCGGTTCGTGTCCCGGACCCGGTGGCTTAAAACTCACGCCGGGCGCATGTGCGTGCGTGCCCAAGATCCCGGGAGGAGAATGGAGGAGAAGGGATTGCGGCGTGACCATCCCCCCTGGGGGGTGATTTCTCGCTTTCTGTCTCTATGTCTCTCTCTGTCTGTCTGGCGAGCGCACGCGCCCTATAGTGAAAAAAAAACCCTCTCAAAAAAAAAAAAAAATCCTTCCCTCTTCCCATTCTTCAGTTGCTTCGCAAACAGGTCAAGGCCAGAAACAGACAGGGGTGGCTCTCTGAAGGTCACCCTTGGGGAGTGAGAGATTGTGACGGCCCTCCGCACCTGGGACCAGGGCTCTGGCGACATTTCCCCTGGTCTGCAGGTGGGCAAGGCTCTGTACCTGACAGCCAGTATCCCCCTGAAGAGCAGAAGCACGCAGGCTCAGGCCTCGGTGTTTGCACTGGGGAGGCGGAGCGCCACCATGGGTTGAAGTTGATCATGAAAGAGACCAACACGGAGAAGGTGGAGGGTACTTCGATTCACACACATCCCTAGACTCCAGCTGTTACACCTGTCTGTATGGAGACCGAGTGGTCCTGGGATAACCAAACAGCAGCTGGCACAACAAAACCAGCCCAGGCACCAGGGCCCTGCCCCGCGGAGGCTCTGGGGCAGGCCTGTCCACCGGCACTCACCTGGCATCACACCCTTGATGTCGCTCTCGGGGCTCATGCAGTTCTTCTGTGTGAAGTGCAAGATCAGCTTCTTGGCAGCCTCAAACTGCTGGGTAGCCATCAGCCACCGGAGGGACTCGGGGAATATCCTGCAAAGACACAAGGGAATGGGACTGTCCCTCCTCCTGCAGGATACCAGGGGCGTGGCTTAGCTGGCTGCCCCGGGGCTTCTCGTAGGCAGGTCTTGTCCAGTCTTTCCTCCCAGATGTCCATCAACCCAGTCAGGGGAGATAAGACGGTGAGCTCTGAACTTCCTGAATCTTTTTTCAGGAAGTATAGAAATCTGAGACTTTAAAAATGAAGCAGGGGCGGACCAGCAGTTAGCGTAATGGCTATGTCGCTGGACTCCCATGTAGTGTCAGGAAGGATGGAGTAGGGGGTTGAGGGCAGGGAGGCCCCAGAAGGGAGGTGCACCCCAGGCCAGGATCCCCGAGCTCAGGGCTGTGAGCACTGGCGAAGAAGCAGCCAGGCAAGCACGTTCACAGTAGAACATGACATTCTCATGCCCTCCCAGTCTCAAACCCCATTCCTTGACCTATCCTAAGCTTCAGCCACAAAGAGAGGAGAGCTGTGGTGATTAGCTCAGGAAACAGGTTTTTTGTTTTTTTAAATTTTTTTGGAGAGGTTTTCACTATAGGGTGCGTGTGCTCGCCAGACAGACAGAGAGAGACAGAGAGACAGAAAGCGAGAAATCACCCCCTAGGGCGGATGGCCACGCCGCAATCCCTTCTCCTCCATTCTCCTCTCGGGATCTTGGGCATGCACGCACATGCGCCCGGCGTGAGTTTAAGCCACCGGGTCCAGGACTCGAACTGCGGTCGGCTATGTGGGAGTCTAGCAACACAGCCATTACGCCAACTGCTGGTCCCAGGAAACACAGTTTTGATTCTTGAACAGGAGGTGAGTGACAGCTCGGGATGAGCCCAGAGAAATACAAAATGACGTGGAGTTGAGTGACATTGTTTGTCTTTAAGATGAAGCCCTGCAGGGTGTGCACGAGGCAGACATTTCTGCTGTTGGAGCCTCTGTCCAGGCACCAGACTGCACTGGGACAGGGCTGCATGTTTCAGGGAGGGCTGCACAGCGTCTGCCCTCCGGGAGGAAAGCCTCTCCTCTCCCCAGGTTCCAAACCACAGGCAGAGCCCAGAGTCCACCCAGCAGGCCTCCCAGATAGCCTCACTGCCTTCCAAGATGCCGCCTGCTCCGGAAGGGCCAGCCCCTCTCTGGCTTGCCTCAGTTAAAGCCCAGAGTTTAGACAACTAAATACTGACAACTGAACACCCCTAGGAGAGGCAATGATGACTAAATTATTTTCTAGAGAATCTTTGAGAATTGCCAAGCTTGTACAAAAGGTTCCAAGGGAGGCCAGCAGGTGGCATGGTGGATAAGGTGGCTGAATCCCATATAGCTACCTGCAAGTTCAAATCCTGGACCTGGAGATTTGAAAATCACATCTGGCATGTGTGTATACATGTGTGCCCAAAATCCTGAGAGGAGGATGAAGGAAAAGGGATTGTGGCATGGCCATCCCTCCCGTGGGGAGGGATTTCTCACTTTGTGTCTCTCTCTTTGGCAAGTGCATGTGCCTTATAGCAAAAAAGTATATTAAGAAAAAAAAGGAAAGATTTCAAGGATAACACCATTTGTCAAGGCATGGTGTGACTTTAGGATTTAAGAAATGGACGTGGGGGACCAGCAGGTGGTATAGCAGTTACGTCATAGGACTCCCACATGGTTGACCATGGTTTTAGTCCCAGATCCAGTGACTTCAAAATCGTGCTGGGCGTGTGTGCCCAAGATCCCAGGAAGAAAACAGAGAAGAGATAGCGGCAAGGCTACCCCCCCTGGGGGGTGATTTCTCACTTTCCCTCTCACTGTGTCTGTCTGTCTCTCTCTCTCCAGCGAGTGCATGTACTCTAAAGCAAAAAAAGCTCTTAAAAAGGGGGGGAGGGGAGGAGGGACCAGCAGGTGGCGTGGTGGTTAAGGTGCTGGACACTCCCACATGGCTGACCACCGTTCAAGTCCTGGACCTGGTGACCTGGTGGCTTGCTTTCTCACTTTTTCTCTCTCTCTCGTCTCCCTCTGGTCAAATTAAAAAAATGAATAAAGGAAGGGAACCAGCAGTTAGCATAATGGCTATGTCACTGGACTCCCACGTAGTCGACCGTGGTTCATGTCCTGGACCCGGTGGCTTAAAACTCCGGGCGCGTGTGCGTGCGTGCCCAAGATCCCGAGAGGAGAATGGAGGAGAAGGGATTGCGGCATGACAATCCCCCCAGGGGGTGATTTCTCGCTTTCTGTCTCTCTGTCTCTCTCTGTCTGTCTGGCGAGCGCACGCGCCCTATAGCGAAAAATCTCTCCAAAAAAAAAAAAAAGAATGAATGAATAAATAAAGTAAAATAAAAAATAATTCTATAAATAAATAAGTAAATAAAAAAGGGGGGAGGATGCAGAACTCTTTTGGAGCTTTTACTGGGTCACCAAGTTATTTTTTCCTCATATGTACAAACTGCAAATTGACCTCAGACAGACTCCTCCCTGACCTCACGTGCTGCAGAAGGAGACCCCTACACGCAGATTAGCATCCACAGCGCATGAGCGACTGGGCAGAAGCCTGTGTGATACAGAACATGGTCGGGGCAATCTTAGCTCCAGGAACTGGTGCAGGGGGCGGGGGGTTGCTCTGCAGAGGTGTGGCTCTGTGGGGCTGAATCTGAGCAGGTGCAGGTCAGGCCAGTGTGTCAGAGAGGGCCCAGAGGTTGGAAATGGCTGGAACACTACATCGTGTCAGGGAGCTGCACCACATGTGCAGAGGTGAGGAGAGGAGAGAGGCAGCCTCAAGTAGTGGCCACTCTGGGCATTATGGAATCTTTTTTTTTTTTT